GCTGTTGAACTTTTTTTCTCAAAAAGAAAAGAGGATGGACACGCACCAGGGTGGATTGTGCTGCTGAAAAACACTTAGAGTGTTTGCAAAGTAATTTTGTGTCATTTTTACACAAAAGTGTTTAAAATATCATAGTCAAGGATTGACTTGCAAATTAAAACTGTCTAGATAGCCTTGTATCAACAACTGCTTGCAGTTATAAATGACTGACCATGTTAGAGATCATTTCCCTCATAAAATCTAATCAAGCAACTTCACAGTAGTATCAGGTAATCAAATTACAGTTTATTTTTTCATAAAGCAGTGTTATCAACATTAACATTTCTCAAATTATAAAAATAAAAAAATGGGGACCAAATAAAATCTCTGGGATTTTTCTATGATCCTTCTAGTCTGATTTATTATTATTATTATTATTATTTCCTTTGCTAAACACCTCCTCCATACATTGCTGACTCGTTTTTGGCCATGTCATCCAGGCTGCTGGTCCAGAAATTTGGTGGTGAGGGAGCAGTGGCAATTAACACTCCTGCTGCTCCCCTGCTGTCGAATTTCCAAACCACATGCAGAGGGATTGTGTTCACAGACTAGATCTGGCCCATGGACCAAGCTGGCATTGCTCATATGGCTTGGGGGCCCAAAAGGTTGGGCACCACTGGACTTTGTTGTGAAAACCCTTACCTCGGTGTTTACTTCAGTAATTTGCAGCATAGTGCCAGACATCACGGTTGGTTTGATGTAGGAGCTGGAATAGAAATCTGCAAAATTCAAGCAGATCACAAAATATCTTTTACTTTCAATTAGCTGATCTGGATTCAAACTGGTTACTTATGGGCAAGGCTCTGTAGCTCATTTTAGCAACACCCTGAGGCATCCACATTTTAGTAAATGCTAATGTTACATCTTTAGGAATGAGGCTTCCATTCAAAAGAGATTAATTAAATCAAGTTCTGTTATCTTTAGATGGTATCATCCACTCAGGACAGCAGTCATATTTTTCCATATATTGCTCTATCTTAAGCTCTACAGTTGAGTGTCATCCCCTTCTGTTCATGAAGAAACAGCTTTTGTTAACCAAAATGCACACAGTGCAAAGCTAAAACAAATATTAAAGCAGCATCCAGGTTTGCTTCTGTATACTTTGTTTTACAACATAAACTCCAACATTTATTACATGGCCTTTATTGTCAGCAGGGTTTGAATCCACAGAATCCTTCTGCTTTGGAGGTGAGAGTTGTCAAGTACAATGTTATCTTCTGTGAACTGTACAGGGAGATAGAACATCTACTTTATTACTGGACTTGATAAGTATCTGTGAGGCATTTCTAATGTCTTGGATTTAGTTCTGGCTTGGGAAGCATGTGTGTTCAGGAGTTTGTGAACTGCATGGCTGAATGTAACGTCAATTTGTGAACTTAAGACCTCTACTATAAAAATGAGCTTCTACTGCTAGCTAAAAAAATAAATGTCATCAAAACAGTAGCAGCGTCTTACAGGTCTGTATGTGGTCTAGCCACTAGGAAACCAAAGTATGCTAGTATCAGTTACAGAAGTACCTAATTTGGCACACTTTAGAAAGGTCTGGGGGCAAGGTGGGTGAGGCTTGGACCTGTTAGAACAATTATTCTTAAGCAGGGTGCTGTGGCATTGTCAGGTGCCTTGAGATCCTTTCACAGGTGCTGCTTGATGCCATGCTAGTTAGCAGTGTTAGGTGTGTACACGTGATTCCCAAGGAATTATTCAAATAGTAATGACAGTATTATAAGTGTTTGGATCATTTGTGGTCTTTCTGAGGTCTTTGCAATAGAAGAATTGCTCTATTATTTTTCTGTACTTCAAAAATGAGTGAAAACTAAGATCTGGCATTTTCTGAGGGGGGCCTTGAGTCTAATGACCGTTACCTCGAGTCTAAAAAGGTTGAGAACTACTGTGTTGGGGACCTGAAGTTCTAGTTCTATTGCTCTCTGAAAGAGAAATCATATGAGCCTTGTTTATCCTACCAATAAAATGGATGAATATTTATCCTTACAAGTCATGTGAAACTAATTGATACGGGTTCTGAAAGCTGTTCAGTCGGTGGATTATCACTCTTTCCAAGCTCATGATCCCACTTTTAATTTAACTTGTACTGTTAAATATCCACAGGGTAAGCCCATTTGTGTTGCAGCCCCTAGTTTGAGAATCACTGTCTTAGGCTGTAAGACATTGTGAGGAAGAATATCTCTTTCTAGTTATGAAAGCTTTTGGTGCGAGCACCAAATCATGTTATTCCCAGTAAATTCCAAAGTTTTAACAATACTGTTGAAATTTTCTGGCTTGGATGAAAAATCAGCTAAACCAGTCCCCCATCTTCTGACTGGCAAAACTTATCTTATTGCTGTGTTTCTTCATGCCAGTTCATTTTTCTTTGCGCCACTTTTGGATAGTCCTTCTGGTCAGCCTCCTCGTTAAGTAATAGGTCTCTCTTATTTTGCCTGATACCACTCGGCCCATCCTAGCCTTCTCTCTTATAGTCCTGAGACTAAGCTGGGAATCTGACAAATATACTATGTAGTACTCCTGTGGAACACTGTACAGAGGTTGTAGTAGGATTTGTTCAGGCAGTTGACGACTTCCTTGGTTCTCTAGGTCCCTTAATATAGCCATTTCACTCTTGCAACTAAAATATTTTCCTCTAAGCCAGAAATGTCAAACTCCTCCACACCACAGTTCAGATGGGTCGCATGGGACTGGTCCAAGGGCTGGATGAATGGCAATGGGGCTGATACTGTGGCGTGGGTCAGGTCCACGGATCTTTCCCTCCTCCCCCTTTCCCTCTGCTGCATGCTGGATCTAGAGCCCGCTGTGGCTGGTCAGGAAATGAGCTGCAGTCAGCAGCTGCTCCAGTCAGTCCAGAGTGGCCTCACATGCAGAGCAGGTCCCAGACTGACCAAAGTGAGTGCTGGATCCAGCATGAGAGAGACCCATGGGCACCTCCCTCCCCCTTCCAGAGCCAACTCTGGCCAATCCAGGATAGTGCATGTTCTGGAGCAGGTGGCACAGGATCCACCATAGGGAGGGTGAGAGGAGGGTGTCCAGGGCTGGCCCCATGCAGGTGCATGGCAGGTCCCAGATCAGGTGTGTTCTGGACTTGTCCGACACCCGTCATGTGTAGCATGCAAGTCAACTTGAGTCTCAGGGCTAGCACTGGAGGCTAGGTCTTTGACAGCCCTGGTCTAAATCATGAGTATTTTCAATCACCTCTTTATATTTTTGCTTTGCATTGGACTCCTGTAGTAGTCATGGTCAGTACAAAAAATTACCAATTTTGTTGTCATGCCTGTATTGAGACTATTTTTACCCAGAATTCAATGTATTGTATGATTCCATAGTTATGTATTTTGTCATAGCTTTGATCTTCAAAGCCAGGCACTTCATTTGCAAAACTCTTTCCTTTTATGGTTGCAAAGACATTTAAAATATAAACTGTGTTTAATTCAGTACAGAGAGCCTGACACGGTATCTCCAAAGTATGATCTACTCCTTTCATCTCAACCAGACACTTGTGGACTCTACAGTTCTATGGCTGCATATTTTGACATGCCCGAGATGACTGAGATGCCAGACAGTTTTAGTCTCTTCTCCTGTTACGTAGGCTGTCCCTTGCTTTGCTGCTTTTCCCACAGTAGTGAGTTTATTGGAGGGTAGTGTACCTTCCTTGTGTACTTGCAGAAGTTCAGGCAGAAGCAACTGGGATGAGGGATTAGGGCTGGACTTAAGTTTGCGATTGGGGATCCAGAGAGGAAGAAATTTAGGTAGCAAACTGCACAAGCTGGAGAACAGTCTGGTAGCTGAGGCTTGTGGAGTTTATTTACTGAAGGGAACTGTGTTCATTCAGAGTGGCATACACAGTTTCCTGACAAATGGGATGGTGGAAATCTGCGATGTCACCTAGGTAGCATCATAGGTGGCCAAGGGAGTGGAGTTTATGGAGGCTTTTCTCATGAAAAGCAGAATAAGATGAAAAAATATTATCTTCAGCTATGAACCAGAGCTGTGGGGATTTTTCATGGAGGTGGAGACAAAAGGAATAAAAGATTTCATGTTGGCACATAAAAGGTAGGGTGCCTGTCATGGTATTTAATCTTCCGAGGCCTGTGTATAAGCAGGGCCCTGCCTTTACTATCTGAGTGTAAGGGCCTTGACTCTTATATTACCTTACAGCCATTTAGTGGACCATTAATCAATATTTCAAGATCAAAATTGATCCTGTTTTAACAAATATGGATCACTTGAATGCAGTGACCAACAGGCCTGCCTAAGAAATTCTCTCTTGTTCATACCATGCCTTTCTCACCATTAGGTCATGTTATTGGGCTATGTGCAGCCCAGAATCCAGGAAGGGGCTGCTCCCAGCAAGATAGTTTGACCTGTTTTGTAATTTGATTTTTCTAAGCAAACCTAGGGGCAAGACAAACGAAGTAATTTTAAACAGGAGACTCCACTGAATAGAAAATTATGTCTTTGTATTGTCTGTTTGTTTTTAAGTACTGCAGTGCACACATCACAATGTACTGACAAGTATTAGGATCTCTTTAAGATTAGATACAAATCCAGGTTCTGATGCCAGGAAACATGAACCTGTATCCTGCAGTATACAGATTATTAACAATATTATGCAATGGTTGTGGCTGTCATGTTTAAGACATGTATTACTAATAAAAATCTAGTAAATAATTACAGAAGTATTAAGCTATTTTTGTAGTAAATACCGTATTTAGAGAAAAAATACCGTATTTAGAACAGTCTATAGTAGGGGCCCTGAGGACTCATTTTCAGAAAAAAGCAACTCAACTAATGAAGTGGTTGTTTGACATTTTATTTATTTTGAAGTTGGAATTTTTTGCTTCTTTTTGTTTTCTAGCAAATCGCTAAAACACTCTGTGTAATATCATTGAAGTGGTTCTGGTCATCTTACTAAAAACAAATCAATCAAACATTTTTTCTTTTTCTTCTTGCAGAGCCTTCAGTATGAGGCGGGGTGGATGGAGGAAACGAGCTGGCGATCATGATGGCTGGGGGACATGGGTATGTTTAAACCACAAGATTTTCAGGGAAAAGGATATATGCATGTATTGGTTTAAGAAAAAAAGGGGAGGTTGAAATTATGGGTGTGAAAAGTTAAATGTTTAAATCATTTAATGTTTGGTACAGGATGCAGTCCAGCGGGAAAAGAAAGTGGTGTGGCAGGGCAAGCAGGAGGAAGTGAGGGAGGCGGACTAGTACCATAGCCTGTGAGGTTAAAGAGGAAAAGGTGGGGGGAGGGGATTATAACTTGTCAATTAAGCAATTGGCTGCTCATTTGCAGGTGCTGGGGGGGTGGGAGCTTGCCACTACCTCCTCTCTTCGCCATGTTGGAGCTGCTGTGTTATCAGTTAGTCATTTAACTGATATAATTAGAGGAGGTTAAACTGATAATTTTTAAAAATGATACTTACATCCCTAGCTGAAATGTTGCATAGTAAGTGTGAGGATACACTCTGTGAATCAATAATTCTTCTCAACTTGAAAGAGGCATAGGCTAAAATTTATTTAAAAAACAATAGATTTTTCAAAAGTGCTTGCAAAGTTACCCAAGTAATTGCACTTCGTTATTAATCTGCATTTCCTGAGTCCTTTTGTAAGTCTAAAGCCTTCTGCAACCTCAAACATCCACTGTTTAAAATCAACCCAAAACAATCTAGTGAAATCAGGACTATCCCACTAGCTCCTCACTAGGGGTTAAATTGAGGCTTATGGGGGCTTGTCAGCTTGACTGCCAGAGCTGCTGGGTTCGTGTAACTTTGGAACTCAGGGGTTTACATTGCTGTCGCTTGCCCATCAACAAATTTTGGGTTTTTGGTTTCTATTTGTAACTGAAATTAGTGGCAGAGAAAAAGGGAGGTGAGCAGAAGTGTTGGTGTTCACTCTCTGAGTCCAGAGATGCACTGACAAGCTTCTGCTCCACTGACATAGGTGGGTCATCCGGCTTGCAAGAAGCTATGTGATTCAGATCCAGCCTACAGAATTAAATCTGTGCTAAAGGAATTAATGTTTGGTCTGTTGCACCCACTTCTTCCTGACACCTAGGAGGGGCAATATCTAGACCTATACCATTGACAGGCTTAGAGGTTATCATCTCTCATTGCTTCAGAACAAGGAGTAGAATTTTTGACCTTGGCAAGACTTTCTAGGTCTTTTTGAGTCATTTTTAAGATTATTTTTCTTCTAAATTCTTTAGATATGGGCATGATCATTTAATTAATCATTGATGATAGGATTGAGTGCATGCTTAAGAAATTTGTGGCTGACAACAAGTTGGGTGAAGTTGCAGACTCTGGGAGCAAGGTTGGAATCCAGAATGACCAGGATAAACTGAGAAAATGGTTAGCACACAATCAGATGAGATTCAACAAGGACAAGTGCAGAGTTCTGCACTTGGGACACAATAACTGCATGCATGAATACAGACTGGGGAATGGTTAGCTAGGCTGTAATGCTGCAGAGAAGGACCCTGGGGATTACAGTAGACCATAAGCTGAATATGAGCCAACATTGTGCTCTTGTTGCAAAAAACCCCAAACAAACCCAAAAACAATAGCATGCTGGGTTATATGAACAGGAGAGTCGCTTACAAATCAAGGGAAGCAATTCTTCTGCTTTGTTCAGCACTGGTGAGGCCTCACCTGGAGTACAGTTTTGGGCCCCAGGTTGCAGGCAAGATATGGACAGTTTGTAAAGAAACCAATATAGAGGGATAAAAATTATTAGGGACCTGGGAAGCTAGACTTATGAGCACAAGATTAAAGAACTTTGGTTTTATAGTCTGGAGAAGAGAAGATTGAGGGGGGATTTGATAACAGTCTTCAAATACTTGAAGAGCAGTTCATAGAGAGGGTAGAAATGGGCTTTTCTCTGTGGCTATAGAGGACATGACTGGGAGCAGTGGCCTAAAGCTGCAGGGGAGGAAATTTAGGTTGGCAATTGGAAGGAGCTTTCTGACTATTAAGGTAGTCAAGCATTGCAACAGGCCACCCAGAGTAGCTGTGGACTTTCTATCCCTGGAAATTTTCAAGAGCAGGTTGGACAGCCAATTGCCTGGAATGATGTCATCCAGGATGATGTTGCCTTGAGCAGGGGGTTGAACTAGGTGACCTTCTGAGGTCCCTGCCAGGTCTACTTTCTGTGTTCCTATAACTAAGGCCTTGTTTATCCTATGTAGTTTCACCAGCAGACCTGAAACTGAGCCTCTGCACATGCATGGCTGTTCTGTGATGCCTTTCTCTGCCAGCAGCATACCCTCCTCGTTTCTCTGAGAAAAAAAATGGTTTCTGCTGGCTCCTGCAATCTCTTTAATAGCTGTTGCTTTCCAGAATATATTTTGTTCCTTGCTAACAAGGCTGCATAACTCAAGTTGAGCTGAATCTTTGATGTCTTCTCTAATAAGGCTGCCATCTAACATTAGAGTATCTTCTGGCAAAAGTTCTTCTTCCCATGTAAGCAAGGCCTAAGGAACCTTCATTATACGAGTCTGTACCACAGAACTATTTATCAGCTGTATGTAGGAAAAGAGAATGCATGGAGGTCATTGGGTTGAGTCTGCCTTGCCATTGGAACACACAGACCCACAATTATTGTAGGTGCTCACTTTGTTTCACTTTATTAATTTGGCTGTACCTGTATTAGTCATTTGAACAGTAAGAATATAAAAGAAAGAGAGCCCTGCTACCTGTCAAGCACAGTATTAATGTTTTATTGGCAGGAGTTAAAAATGGGAGGCATTAATCATGATTGGAAAAAGCTGTGTGTGAATTTTGCAAGGGCTCCAAATGGATTTCAGGAAGGAATACCAAATGTATACTCACTATTTTTAAAGAAAATATGAAAATGACTCTACTTTTTTAAAAGTTAACCTAGGCATCATAAAAAAGTCACAATCAACAATTTTATATTTAACTATTTATTTCAATCACAGGGAGGGTACATGTCTGCAAAGGTCAAGAAACTAGAGGACCAGTTCTGTGCAGATGCAGTTATTCAGCAGCAAAAGGATGGAACTTCAACTGGTATCTTTAGTGGAGTTGCCATCTATGTCAATGGCTTTACAGGTGGGTTTTTCTTTTCTTAAATGACAGAGCTGATTTACTATTTACATTAATGCCTATGTATATTAAGTGATGTAAGCAGGTTTTTTTTGTAAATGTGAGCCTTATAGCTGAATAAGAATCCATAGTGATATGAGTAAAGTTGCTTTGAGATTTATGCTTGAAGTTCAAGTAAGTTTCTATGCAAAATCATCTTTCCAGCTAGTCACAAGTGATGCATAACCATTTTGATTGAAATGTTATATTCTTGGGTCATAGAATACAAGTGGGGTATTTGCCCCCAGAGATTTTGCAGTTTGCTCTTACAGCTTGAGTTACCAGAATATTCACACTGAGATAATATATTTGGACTTAATTCAGCTAGTTTAATTAACAAGCTCAAAACTAGATCTATTAATCATATTAGGGTTAATTATTTTGTCTACTTAGAATAAAAGATGTATTAAATTGATATCTATCAGCTATCAGATCAGAAAGGTTCCTGCCATGAGAGATTGCTCCCTATCTTCCAGTCAACTGACTTGTGGGATGGCAGAGGATAGCATTCTCCTTGGGGTCTAGGAGGTCTGCATCCTTGAGTATGTCTGTCTCCCATCCTGTGCACTCCTACGGGGTGACCTAGAGGGGTGAATGGAGCCGGGGGGCTTTTCTCCTGTGGTGAGAACCCTCCCAGAGCCCTGGATACCCCTCAGGCTATGTACTCTTCTGGATCACCACAGACAGGAACACAGGGTAGGAGGCAGATGCACCCAAGGCTGGAGCTTGGTGTATTGTGAGGGGAAATACATGATGATGACTGTGGGCAGGTGTTATATTTAGTTCTTTTGCAAGAGAGTTCTCCCTTTCAATGACAAGGATACTAACTTGAATGGCTGTACACATCTCAGGTGTTGAGAATACCCAATCTCCCATAGTCTTCTGTTCTACTTCCCTTCCTCTCCCTCAGAGTTTATAGGCAAGTAATTTCTCTTCCTGCAATTAAAACAGTTTTCAGCCAAGGCCATGCACAGCATTTTGCTTGTCATTTTCTATACGCTAAACAAAAGATGCGTAGAGAATTAACTTTGTGGCATGTTGTGTGTCAGTGCTTTTGAATGAGCAGTCCTGTTTGTGAAATGATCCCTTTATAGATTCAAAAATATTGGGGGGAAAAAAATTTCTAAGTAATCACTTCTATAAATAACCATTTGCCTACACTTCTGTGGTTTTGTTTACATGTTTTGAAAAAATTATTTGGATATCCTAAGTTATTAGATTTCAGAAAATAAAATGGTTCTGCATTTTTTCAGTTGTGATGTTGGATTTCTGAATGTCGGTTGTTAGTGAACTTACTTAACATACAAATGCAGAAATACATTGCATGTAGTTATTTTTGGTTAATCTTACAGATCCTTCAGCTGATGAATTAAGGAGGCTAATGATGTTGCATGGAGGCCAATATCATGTGTACTATTCCAGATCCAAAACAACGCACATCATTGCCACCAATCTTCCAAATGCCAAAATAAAAGAACTGAAAGGGGAAAAAGTGGTTCGGCCAGAATGGATCATCGAAAGGTAAATTTAGACAGACTGTTAACCTGGCACTTGGTGTGTTTCAAAGGAACTTTCTAGAAAAACTACCTTTTGCTGCAGATGCAACAGGTATATAGTTTTACATGCGTTTATGTTGAAGTTACCTTGTGAAATAGCATTATCCCTATTTTACAGACATGTCTATTTCAGTTCTGTAAGGTTACATGTCCAAAAACCACATGAGGTATCTCAGACATAGCAGGAATTTAGGGCTTTGAGTCTCAGGTCTCTTGAGACTATCGTAGTTAAGTAGGATACTATATTTCTGATGAGGGTTTTAAACCTTTCTGCCTTAGTGCTAGCCAGTAACTGTTGGGTGTAAAGAAGAAACTCACCCAGTTGGTAAGTTATTCTGTGATTGTCTGCTACTAGGTTTTTAAAAGCTTCCTTTAAGTATTTGGTGTTGAGCATAGAGGTCAGTGGTAAACTAGTTCAGTAGTTCTCAGTCTTTTTGGATTCGAGACACCTTTCCACAACTCTTGTGAACTGGGTGGCACCCAATTGAAAAAAAACTAATTTGTGTTACAGTGCTTAACTCCCATGTGCAGTGGGGAAAGCAGTGGGGTTGGGGACTCAGGGAAGGACAAACCTGAGCCTGTATTTACCTGCTTATCCCTTACACCTTACTTATCTTCTCACACCTCAGAGCAACCTTCAAAAGATCTGGCACCATCCTTGCTTGAGAATCATTGGTCTGATCCAGTCTGGCACTTCAGGCACTATGCTCACAGTGTCTGCAGACCTGAAATCTATAGGAATGTTGCTGTCCTTTGAGGATTGGAGGAGATCTGTTGTTCAGGAAGGGAAAGGGGCAGTTGTGAAGGCATTCTGCTTGATTGGAGCATACATGTTGACATCCTGCATTCCCTCACAGTTGAGGATGATTGTTTTTCGTGATTGTCTTATCTGTGGGTCCAAAGATGATGAGGCCAATCTGGGATTGACAGACTCTGCTCTAACTTAGGCACATGTTTCCATGCGGGGTGGGTGACCCTGGATTCTTGATTTATTCCATGACATGCTATTTCTGCTGTTCCTGCTTTTCTGTCTCTTGTTGTCATAAGGGTCCAAAGTACTGAAATCCTTGCAGCAGACTCTTCCTCCTTTTGTGAGGGGAAGCAGTCCTGGGCAAGAAATGGTTTCTAAGGTATGGGAAATACTTAGCATTCTCCAGATTCTCACCATGAATCTGAATTACCAGACCTGGAGACTGCTCATTAAGAGCTTGTTGATGGAGGACCTTAGTCTTCTGAATGTTGTGTCGTGTCAGTCACATTTTCTTGTACGATTTGGTAAAAACGTCAACAATTGCCTGAAGGTCTACTGCCAAGTGAGCACAGACTATAGTATCATCAGTATACCAGAGCTCAATGATTGAGGTCAGGGTGATCTTGCTTTTGGCTCTGAGTCAGCTAAGATTAAACAGCTTACCATCCATTTGGTAGCTTAGCTCCACTCCTGCTGGAAGCTTGTTGATGGTCAGATGTAGCATTGCAGTAAGGAGTATTGAGAAGAAGGTTGGAACAATGATGCAGCCTTGCTTAACTCCCATTAACTACCATATCCTCTTGCCTCTCAAGCCTCATAAGGGGGTCTTCATGGGAGTACAGAAATCCAGTCTCCCTTCCCACAAACACTTCCTTATACTTCCCCAGGCAGTGGATCTTCAGGGGGCAAATAAATCTTTTCTTTCCATCTCTGACTCAATCAGATGTGAAGGAAGTTTGCTGTCAAGAGGGATCTCCCAGTTGCTGGGGTGTTGATTCATTTGTTTTCCAGGCCCTGTGTGGGTATTTTTAGACGATGAAGAATGCTTTTATTGCTCCCTTTTGTGTGGAACTTTGTTGCAGGAAATGGGTAGAGTGATGAAGGAAATCTTTACTCCCTTGGATTGACTCTCTGGGATCTGTAAGCAGTAGGGCCATGCTAATGAATGGAAAACCAGTTCCTTCTGCTGTTTTTTAGCCTTTTTGCTGGTTTTCGTGAGTGAGGGGAGCTTGCTCTTCCTTATCCTGCCACGCTATGAAGTTTTTTTTTAACCAACTGCTGTCTGCTCAATTTATCTTGGTCTCACTGGGCTACAAGCCTTGTTTAGTTTGTTGTAACACTGAAAAAACAATTAAACCTTGTTGAGGCTCATAGGTGGAGGGAGTCCTCCCTGCATAGGATCCACAGAATATGAGACACACTCCTTTGGAGATTAAAAAACAAACAAACCATCCTCTGTATTCCCGAGATTCCTCCTTTTGGGTGAAAAGGAGGGGTTGGCAGTGCCTTGGATGGTGGTAGAATGGTTTCCATTTCCACCTTTTCATAGACATTAAGATGAAAGCTCCAACTCTGTGTACATTGTAAAAAACAGTAAAGGCAGCCAGTTGGACTGTACAAGAGGTTCTCCAGTGTGGTCATCTTATGTATTTGGGGTTTTTTTTCACTTCACTGAAACTGTGGACTCAAGACAGGGTGATAGAAGGCAGTTGATTAGCAGCATATTTTGTGTCCATTGGATATTTGGGATGAATCATCAACTTCTTCAGTTTTAGTGTCCTCTCTTCAGGGAGGATATTGAAAAATGTAGAGAAGGTACAGAAAAGAATTGCAAAAAATGACTAGAAGATTGGAGAAAATGACTTTGCCAAGAGTTGTGAAGAGCTGTTTTTTAGTTGTGCAAGTAGTTTTCTAAACAGAAAATACTAGTTACTGACAAGTTCTTTAATCTAGCAGAAACACTAACAAGAACCAATGGCTGAAAGCTGAAGATACTCTAATTCAATTTATAGACAAGATGTCTAACATTTCCCTTTATAAGATCCTATGTGCAGTGTCTTAGCTAGCTTGGGAGAAATCTGTGCAATGCATTTGAAGGTTCCAGTTATGCTGATCAGCCCTGTTGATGTCAGTGTGTTGGAATTTGTTTTGTTTTTGTGTTTTGTTTTTAAACCCTGGGGATCAGAATTGAGCTGAAAACTTAACCATGTTCTTTTAAGAATTCAGAATTAGCAAATATTAAGAGCAAGGTTGCAATGCAATTGTAATTCCTCTCTCTGAGCATATTCATTATGATGTAGTCTAATTCTATGATTAGAAACCATTTTTCTGTAGGATAGGTGCCTTATTCACTGAATGCCAGGGTAGGCATACTGGGTTCTTCTGGATTTCTGCTTTCAGAATCAGTTGGCTTCCAGTAGCCATTTGGATCGAGGGGTCCACAGTCCTGAGCCAGTCCAGACTAATCCGTAGCCAAACTTAATCTCAGCATTCTGAGGACATTTGATCTCTTCATCTCCACCAAAGAAACAACCTATTTCTGAAGGCTAGATACTTGCCAATATGCTACACATTTAAAAAAAAAATCGTCAAGAAGTTCCAATAGTCAGTCTTGTCGTGGAAACACACACAGCATATTTTTGGGTCAGGTCAGCAGAAGCTTTTATTCAAAAGAAACTACAGCTGTAGGGGGGTCTCCAAAGTGACATGGATTTCCCAAGCACTTGGAAGGGGTCCCCCCCAAGAGCAAAATCAGGAGGCTTATATACTTTTTAACAGTTGCTTACAACTCACGTGATCATATAGTGAAATTAGCATGAAAAGCGGCTATAATATTACTTCATTATTTCTTTGCTGTAATCAGGATGGGAACTAATGGGGGAGGCGAGGTTAGTTCACAAACCTCCTTCTTGCACCTGGAAATCAGATTTGTACATACTTTTTTGCCATCTTCAAGGCCGCGGTGAGCGAAGCAGTTGCAGAGGAGTTACAAAGAACAAACACTTTCTCTTATCTGTTCTACTATACAGAGCCAGCAATTCTCCACAAAGCGGTTATGTCATCTTATAACTAAAATAATCAAAGTTTAAGGCAGATATTTTTTTCTGATTCCACAGTCTGGTGTGATGCACCTCATCTCCATGGAGAAACTTGGCTTCTGATTTGTAATTAAGCACAGAGTAAAATATTTGTATAAATAAAATATGATGTACAGTCAAACCAATACATCTTTTGGAGGAGATTGAGTATGTTGGAAAAATATCATTTCTTTGAAGAATCGTATGGCAAATGCTGATGCTAAGAGCATAATTTACTTGAATTTTCAGAAGACTCCTCAACTGTTAAGGAAAATAATCATGGGGTAAAGGAACTGTTTTGTCATGATTAAGCATTATAAAATGGTGAACTTGAACAGATGGTCTTTATATTAAAGAATAGTTAATAGTAGTTTGAAAACAGGTATTGGTACCAGACCAGAACTGTTGCATAGTGTATTAAGATTTGATCCTTTGAAGCAACCAGGCATTCTAGTGGGAATCGAGGATGTAGTTCATTGAAAGATCAGGCTCTTAATTGGAGAAGAAAGTCGATAGCAAGTTGAAGTTTGATAACTTAATTGTTTAGATTAGTAAAATCTTTGGAGATATGAAGCAGTTCAGGGACAATGTCCCTGGGCTACAGGGAATAAAGAAAGGCATCATAGCAGATTAAATTTAAGTTTAAAACATAAAATAATGCACATGAGCAGAATCCATAAAAAATATACCAGTATTTGAATAAAATCTGTTGTTTGGGCACAAAGATGTGGAACTTGGAGAATAGTGCAAATTTATTTTACAAACAATTTTTGTTTGAAGGTTGAATCTTAATTTGGAAGATGTATCATCAGAAGTAGTATAAGATGGAGGTTTAAAGTGTTTTAAATGTGAAGAGATTTTTTTCCCTGGAAATAAAAAGAATCATGGCATCAGAGTTGGTTATAATGTTGAAAATGGATTGAATTTTTTTTAATTCAAGTTTGTTAATAAGAGCAAAGGGAAACTAAAAATTAAAGAGAACTCTCTTTAGGATCTCACTTACTGCTGTTCACTTCTTGCCCCAGAGGGTTTGTTGTTGTAAGTGAATGGAATGTCTTTACTTCTTCTACTGCCCTTCTCTGCTCTACAGTACTAAATGGAAGATTGGCATCATCCCTAAGCTGATATGGTTTTGATGACATTGTGCAAGGTTAATTTAGAAATAATAACATGAAATATGTTTTCTGAAGCATATAACCAAATTCCTTGCTCCCAGTGGCCATTGAGGCCCTGTCTACATTTGGAGTTTAAGAAGTTGTAGCATAGCACAGTTTGAAACTAGCGTGAACTATTGTAGAAATATAGAATGTATTCATAAGGTTTTGACTGATACAACTACTCCAGTGGCTGAAATCTCAGTATAGACAAGTTCTCAATTAAGTTTGAATCTGAAACTGGTAGAATAATTTTTAGACATTATCTATTGTGGGTTATATAGTGATAAGGAGAAAATTATTTTTGGACTAAATGTCCAATTGCTGCATCACTACTTTCCTTACTTGAGAGGTTTACAGTTTTACTTGTGTTATTTTAATTTTCTAGGATAATTTGTAATATTCATAAAGAAATGTCATTTAGATTATATGAATATTTCAATGTTTAATTGAGCTGTTGTCAGAACTTTCCTGTTATAACTGTTGTAATTATAGCATTCCCACAAGAAGCCTTACTAGTTCTCTAAATAAATGCTAACTAGTTAGTTTTAAATAATTGGGTAACATGATCTTCCTCTAATTAAAGGAGGAACATAAAGATGAGCTGTGAAAAGTTTAGTTTAAATGACTTGCTTAGCTTCCTTAATTGCAGTGTGACAGCCAATAGGGGCTTTTGTTCTGTTTTCACCTCCCTCTATAGAGTAGAAGTTTGAGCTGTAGAAGAAACAGATCTTAAAGAAGAAAAAAGTGTGGTGCAGACAAAATGTTATCTTTTGCATTCGAGAGCTTGTTTAACTTTATCCCAACTACATAGTTGGTCCAGTAAAGGCTGTCATCCCAAGAAATCCTTGCCTCACATAATTTCTGGACCATCATATCTCCAACATCACCCTTGCACTACTATAAATGTCCTCTTTAAAAACTTTGAATTTAATTCTGTGCCCCAAACTATAAATAAATATTCTTTCTTTTGCTATAAAACAGACTTGGCAGCTAAAACAACACCAACACCTACTTTAGAGTTTGGTATGGTATCTGTATGCGTTTAGGATAAAGGGTTGTGGTTGAGCAGGGACACATCACCAGCAATAACATAAATGGGGGAAGGAAAGATGGAAATTTTATTGCTGTATCTTTTCAGGATGATATACTACAGGACTTGAGTTGCCTGAGGAAAACTGCTGATTGTCAAATGCTGGAAAGTATAGTTTTAGCTGCAGGGTGGGTGGAGACAAGGAACAGCAGACATCATACTGAATGGGTTGGAGCAAATCTGCATAAGAATGTTTGGATATTTTTTTTCTCTTTTTTAGTCTCTCCACTGGTTTCCCCATAGTAAGGGGTAATTGGGTCCTTAGGATTGGAGAAGTTGAGGATATTCTTCAAGGTGAACCAAATCCTAATGAAACTCTCTTTTTTTCTTAGTTTTTACCTGATTTTTGTCTGGAAGGCATCTGTAAGGTGTTTAGAGTTAAATGGATCTATCATCATAATATTAAATTTGTAGAATTTGTGGAGGATCTTGAAAACTGTTATCAAATTTCTGCTATTTCATGCAGAGTTTGCACTGGAGAAACCTAACAGGTTTTACACAGCTAACTATCATGTGTGAGCATCTCTCATTAAGGTAGTTATATAGCTCCAGTCATCAGGATTTAAAATAATATCCTACCCTATCCAGACATAATTGGGGGTTTTATAACTGGATATGAGTCTGAAAGGGGTTTTTTTATTAGTTTAATTTTTTGAGCTGTGTTCAAGATTTGAGTTGTATGTTATCAGCATATTTATACCTATTCATTTTGAGATGCTTATTTAAATCCAGTTAATATAAACAAACCATTTTTAATTGAACTGAAATTTTAATAATCTGTAATGTTGTGACTATGCAGTGTTTAAGGTCCAACGTTTTTAACTGAATTTGTGTCCATCACATCTATAAGTTACAATTTATTGACTAACTCCTCCTGGTGCCTATTTTCGTTAATGAATTAGAAGTTATATATGCATATAAAAACTGTTTGTGTGTTGCAGTTAAAGCAGTTAAGCAGATTTTTATTGCAACTTTTTTGCTTTCTTTCTATATTGCAGCTGTGAAAAGTGTTTAATCGTGGTTCAGGTACACTTAAGCATTCACATTCTGTATGCATACTTTCAAGACTTCTTTTTATAATAATTGTTGACAATTCAGAAAGTATGAAGCATATTTATCAATTTATTATTGTCCTCAGTTTATTTTTTCTTTTATCAAACTGCTTCTATTAAAAAAAAATAAAATAACATTTCCTCATTCAGGTGCAATACATTGATTCTTTGGAGGTTCAGATTTCACTGTCCAAATATTTCAGTTGTGCTAAAACGAAGGAGAGTTAGAAGCATGTGTAGCAAGACAGCCAGCTGTAATTACAGGATTATCAGCAGCCTATTATAAATGAAACACTGTTCATCTCAGAAGTGGCTTTTCTGAAGACTTTGAATAGTAAAGTGTTTGTTTGGTTGTTTGTTTGTTTTTTTGCTGTTTAGCATAAAAGCTGGACATCTCCTCTCCCATGTTCCATATCAGCTTTATACCAAGCAGTCCAGTGTTCAGAAAGGTCTCAACTTTAATACCATATGCAAACCTGAAGATGCCATGCCAGGTCCTAGCAATATAGCTAAAGAGCTCAACAACAGGGTGTAAGTATTTCCTATCTGGTAATGCACACTATTCACTTACGTTATTATGTGTACAACATTTCTGTTTATCCCAAAGCACTTAACCAGGGAGGGTAAGTGTTCACATTTTACAGGTAGGAAGATCTGAGGTATATGCGAAACAGTTTGTCTAAGATCAGAGTTGGTTATTGAGGCCATGTCTCTCTGGATAGCCCATCAAGTGGCTTAGCTCCTGAGCCCTGCTTTTAACTGTGCCAGAGGACACAGTAGGTGTAACATGTACTATATTGAAGCAATTGGGTATGTAACTTGCTTTAAGAGAATCTGATCATGGATACTGAAATTGGGTTGTTTTTTTTTAAGTAGCAAAATATTGACAGAGATTTGTTGTGGTAGTTGTAAAAATGAACAAACACTTGCTCCAGTTTTAAAAATTAAGATTAAAATGTCGCAATGCATAATCAGCATATGGATGTTGGGGTAGGGCTATGAAATTACCAAGTTTCAAGAAAGGATGCAAGTTAATAATAATTAAAAGGTAATAAGCCCTAATGCTGGAAGACTCCATCTATGATTGATAGGAGAGTTTGGAAACAACTTCATCCTCTGGGTATGCTCTTCCATGTAGGGGTAGGGGGAGAGGGTACCTATTGCATCCTTCTCGGAAGCATCTGGAATTGGCTGCTGTCAGAGATATTACTAGGAAGAGCTCAGCTACTGGTCTGGTTTGAAAGGATCATCTCTGTGTTCCCAGATGATTTGTTTTAAAGACTAATCCTTCATAGTTTCCCTCGAGGGAGTGTCTACACATAGTAGGTTTGTGTTTGTAGCCGGTAGAAAAAACAAATATTCCTACAGAATGCATGTGCTAACCATTTCTTTTATTCTTATGTTCAACTGCAGGGGATTATTTTAACTCCACCTTGGATCAGTATATTGTATTGGTGGTAATGGGGGTGAGAAGAATAATGAGACTTTCATAAATAAGTCTTTCTAATATAACCAGTATCCATTTAAAAACTTACTCTATATGATGACTTCAAATTGGTACCAGTGGGAGAGAGCTTTATAATCTCATAGCTGTTCCAAAATATTGTTGTTCTGGTTTATATAGTTTATAATTACAGTAATCTTAGATGAACTGTTATCAAAGTTAATTGGTGTGTTGGTTTTATTTAGACGCTACCTAGGTAATTATAACCAACCATTTTTTGTGCATTTGTTTAAATTGCTTTCTTTGGGAGTAGGTAGATTTTCCTGTAAGCTGAGAATCCACTTAGCTCTTAATGTCTAATGTTAATGCCATTTGTGTTGTTGATATGGATCTAGTGTAAACTACTTGAGGTACAAGTTTTGTTTTCACAACATCCAGGTAAAAGCAAATTGTTAATGTGCTTGTGTTACAATACTCATTCTTTTAAACATCACTATGGTGTAGATTCTGTTGTTCATCTACACCAGTGAAAATAAATTAATGGATATATTTGATGTAACCACCCGAAACATGTTTCCTTGCAGTTTAAATTCAACGTGCCATACTTAGACCTGTTGCAAAAAGTAGAAATAATTTTTTGATAAAAGTTTTGAAAGATTTCTGTTTTTCAGGGTGAAAACTTAACTTAATTAAAAATGGAACTGGAGTTTTTTTCTTCCAGTAGTTCTGACACTTAGTAATAAGATCAAGGAATTGTTATATTAAAAAAGTCAGAATTATTTTAATGCCTGTGCTATTGCGGGTCAGGTTGGGGATCTTATTGGAAATCTAGGGAAGTTCTCTTTATAATAAGAGTTTGAAAAAGGTCATTTTTGATTAAATTCCCACCCACATTTATTTTGTAACAAATCTGTCGAAAGTTGAGTAGAGATAATAGAGATCGGTAGAGCATTCTGAAATCATAGTTCAAACTACTAGATGATGTTATCTTCATCTGCTAAAACAAAGATGACCAATTTGTGGCATGGGCAGTGTGTGTGGGCATGTAGCAGATCAGGTGGGGGACAGGCAGCACCACTGCAAATAGGGCAGGAAGCAGAACACAGAGCAGCAGATCAGGCAGGGGAAAGCGACTGGGACACTCAGGCAGAATATGGGGCTAATTTGTAGTTTGCCTGTGAAAAGGTTGACTTCTGCTATCCTAAAAGAACTAGCAGAAATTTGCATCTGACTATTAAAAATGCTTAAGTTCTGTTTTCTGTATAGATTGATATTTATAATGACTTGCTAATGACTTCATATCTTTGTTTAGGTAAAATTATTAAATACTATTTTCTTGCTTATTTTAGAAACCATTTAATAAAAAAGTGTGAGACTGAAAATGACATCAAAGGCAATGGAATTGATAGCTGGAATGAAGAGGAGGAGGAAGACAGTAAAGATTTGGGAATTGTAGAATTGGAACAGGTCTTTCCTGTGAGGACACACAATGGAGTTCAGCATTACAGAGACAGCACTGCCATTTTTAACGGACACACCCTCAATTCTACCAGTGCCTTAAAGACACAGGATTGCTTGGTGCCCTCTGGCAACAGTGTTGTAAGCAGGTTCTCTCCAGGCCCCCTGCAGGAGGAGGGGAAGACTGAAAAAGGCATCATTGACTTTAGAGACTGCACTATGCAGCAGTTGCAGCAAAGCAACAAAAACACAGATCTTTTATGGAATCCACATAGGACTATGAGTAATTCATTCTCATCTTCATCTTTGCACAGTAATACTAAACTAAATGGTGCTCACCACTCCACTGTTCAGGGGCCTTCAAGCACAAAAAGCACTTCTTCAGTACCTACTCCTAGCAAGGCAGCTTCATCACCAGTGTCCAAACCTTCAGACTGCAATTTTATTTCTGACTTTTACTCTCGTTCAAGACTGCATCACATATCCACATGGAAGAGTGAATTGACAGAGTTTGTCAACAACCTGCAGAGAAAAAACAATGGTGTCTTTCCAGGAAGTGAAAAGTTAAAAAAATTGAAAACAGGCAGGTCTGCACTTAAAACTGATACAGGTAGATACTTGTTTAAGATGGCTTATTTAAATGGGTTCCCTTGTTTTCACATTAAGCATCTGATCAAGCTTAAACACAATAGCTTTCATTGTTAAGAAGGCTCCCAAGCAATATGGGATAGCAACATGGTTATGAAGAGTCAAATACTTGTTTTTTTGCAGCTTTTATTATTAAAATTAAATGCCCCTTAATATGACACTCATTTCAACACAGAGATTTATTTCTGCAGAATTTTAATTTTTTTAGATACTGCCAAGCAATTTTGAGATTTTGAGGGGAAAATGATTTTGAGTTGTATACATGCAAGGGTTTTTTTGAGATTTTAAAGGGCCAAATACAAAATGTCTTACTGATCTGTATAGTTCCAAGTGAAAATTTTCCAAGATGAGTAGTATATGAAAATGTACTATGGTCCAAATGAGTCTGTTAGCTAGAATACTTCTGGATCTCTTAGCATTAGAAGGAGTCTTGTACAACAATTCTCCATGTCTTGGCACTAAACGGTAATTGTCTCTGGAAGTATTGCACTGCCAAACTGAAAATACTTGTGTAAATATTTGTGTAATGAGTGGGATTTTAATATTTAAGTACAGTAGTGAATTATATATTTTATAACCTTGACAATATCCCCTGCGACAGGGCTCTCCAACTTTGATGTGGCTGGGGGTTGCACTTTGCGCATTCTGTACACTGTGGGGACAGCGCTCTTGGCCTCCACTCTTCACCCTTGCTCCTTGCACATGTGCTGTGTCACTAGTGCGCAGATGCCCCAGTTTTTCCCTGCTGCACAGCTGCTGGAGAAGCTACTTCTGGGTCCTTCAGGCTGCCAATTGGACAGCCCTGTCCTAGAAGCTTAAGCACTGTTCTACCTGTTTGGCTTTTTGCGAGTCTGCTTTCTACTCTTAGAGAGTCTTGCTTCTTTAAGTTGTCAGTGTCCTCTTATATATCCCTTTTTTGTACAATTAAGGTAAACATAATTTTCTTTAAAAAGACTACAGGTAATGAATGATCGACTGTCTTGAAACAGGGCATTAAAAATGAAACATTTTAGTCATTTATGTGACGTACTTTTTCGCTATGGTATTCTAGGCATTGTACGCACATGTGATTTGCCCCAGTTACAGTTGTGACCAGCAAATAATAATGGTTCAACCTTCTGGTAACATTTATTAAAAATCACAACTTGATCTAGTGCAGCTTATCTTTGCTTCAAGTATAGGTAAACTGCATCTTGTAAACTACATTTTAAGCTGTTTTGCTTGTCTGTGCTAGATGCTTCATACAGTATAGCGATGTCAGTGACCATAAAATGCTAACTAACTGACCAGAGGTTTTCAAATCACTCAACATGTGTGGTGTGAACTGAGGAAAAAAATTGAAAGTGATGTTAAGAAAAATTGTATTTTCTGATTTGTGCACAAAACCTAGAGAGTATTCCAACATAGTTTGAATTGTAACATAGTGGATATTAAGACCTACTGTATTTACTTGAGTATAAGATGAGGGTTTTTCCCCCAATCAACATGGGGGGGTGGGGGGAAGGAGGCAGGTGAAGTCGCTTGTCTAGCATTCACATGCAAGGAAACCTCACAAAAAATATCATGTAACTGCTGCCAAAAGCAGTATGCACTCAGTAACGGAAACCAACTACCAAGTTGATTTAAATGCAGCCAACACTGAACATGTCTATAAAACACATAGACCACATGGGGCAAACACTAATAGCAACCTATCACAAGAATAGGTCAGTGTAACCCATCTGAATAAGGTTTATGGTAGTGGTCATTGCACGCAGTCCACCTCAGTGCCAACTCCTTTTCAAGTCATGGTGAGCCACTACATTGAATACATTTTTACTTCCCCTTCATGCCCACAACTGAGCTGTGCCTTTCTTTCCCATTTCTAATGAGTCCTGATTTTTAACTGGCCTTAAATGCCTGGTAGATATCATTGAATGGGGCCCCAAACAGCTTACCCAGAATCTGTCACCCCCTCTCAGCCTGTCGCATATGAGTAGTTGTGGCCCTGTATTCCATGAAGTGGAGCCAGACCAGGTTGCCCTGCACCATATCTGTATATACATTTTTGGAGGATCTCAGGACTCATGACAAGAACACCTGGTTCCAGTCATGAGCAGGGGGGCTAATTAGCACATTGTTTTGTGTTTTTATTGTTGTTGGAGGGGAGGGAGTACACACATCTAAAGTACCCCCACATACTGAACAGTGTTGATATATGAGGTCACCATGGCTTGAAAGGCTTTTGACTGGTGGGGCCTAGCCCAGTGAACTATATGAATAATCATGAGCCTTTTGGGTTTGGACTAATGACACCTAAGGTGTAAGGAGAAGTGAGCACGCTAGAAGAGAAGGACAGGCTACAACTAGATCTGGACAGGTTACAGAGGTGGACGGATGAGAATAGGATGGGTTTCAATATGGACAAGTGCAAGGTGTTGCACCTGGGGAGGAAGAACCAGCAGCATACCTACAGGCTGGAGAAATCCCTTCTCATCAGCAGAGGCAGAGAAGGATTTTGGAATCACTATTGATTCCAAGATGAACATGGGCTGCCAATGTGGGGACACAGTCAGGAAGACTAACTGCATTTTGTCATCCATCCATAGATGCATCACGAGCAGGTCCAAGGAGGTGATCCTCCCCCTCTATGTGACATTGGTCAGGCCGCAGTTGGAGTACTGCCTCTGGTTCTGGGCACTGCACTTCAGGAGGGATGTGGACAGCATCGAAAGGGTCCAGAGGAGGGCCACTTGCATGATTAGGCCACAGGGCAAGCCCTACGAGGAGAGGCTACGGGACCTGAACCTGTTCAGCCTTCACAAAAGAAGGCTGAGAGGGGATCTGGTGGCCGCCTATAAACTTGCCAAGGGGGACCAGCAGGCAGTGGGAGAGTCCTTGTTACCCCCAGCACAACCGGGGGTAACAAGGAACAATGGCATAAGTTGACTGAGAGTAGATTCAGGCTAGATATCAGGAGACACTACTTCACAGTCAGGGCGGCTAGGAGCTGGAACTGACTTCCAAGGGAATTGGTGCTCGCCCCTACCCTGGGGGTCTTCAAAAGGAGGCTTTGACCCCAGCATCCTTTCCTGCCCATGGCAGGAGGTCGGACTAGATGATCTGCTTAGGTCCCTTCTGACCCTACCAACTATGAAACTATAATGTTATGCATAGTTTGTACTATATACAAGTACGTACAGAAGCGCTACTTAAAAGTGTGTTTATGTAGTACCCAAGCTAAAACTTGCAGCAGTTTCAAAAGAGGTAAACTGCAGCAGTTCTGGATGAATTAAGTCTATGGGTAACTGTAGTAATTTCTCAAATGCAAGTTATTATAGTTATGTTTATTTCTAGGTCAGTGTTTTCAAATTTGCTTCTCACTTCCATATGCTTAGGGAGAGCAGGGTCTGACAGTAATGAGGGCAGGAAAGGACTGCAGGGTAAAGAAGCTGGGGGTGGGGGAGTGGGGCAGAGGGCAGGGGTGCTACCTGACCTACTCCCAACTTGTTTTCCCTGCTGTAGCAGTGGGAGGGGGACAAATTCAAGGCAGACCTTCAATAATTAGTTTCTATAACTGGAAACTTATAACACATTTATAAATCATAGAGGTCGTCTTACATTTGAGTATGTTAGTTATTAATTTATGTTGTTATGTACTAAAAACACTTGTCATACAAAGGTAATAAATATTAATTTGGGAAACAAAATGGACAAAATGAGGTGTAATACCTCACTTTAGTAGATGTGTCACTTTGTCTTTAAACTTACCAGGCTGTTGTTTCCGGTGCTTCTGTATTGCATTTGATATTCTATAATGTATTGCACTTCTTCACTCCGCCCTTTAAACAATTCTAATAATGATCTTTTGGCAGAGGTAGTAACAGGAACCTCTTTTCATTGCTTCTTTGTTTTGGAGTTGGAAACATCTTACTATCAGTCTTTGACTCATATGAATGCTGTAAAATATGTAAATTTTAGGGATCAAGTTTTCTATTAATATGTCTTCATACTAGGTAATGTGTCTGTCTTGAATTCAGCCAAGCCACAGAGCTGTATAATGCACGTGGATATGGATTGCTTCTTTGTATCCGTGGGTATCCGAAATAGGCCAGATCTCAAAGGTCAGTATTCTTTTTTTTTTCTTTTTTTTTTTAATGTCACCAGTCACATGTTCAAGACATGAAAATATGCTAGCTAACAAGTAACATTTTGTAAGTGTCTGCTTCTAGTAACTTAGCCTGTTAGGAGCATTACTCTCATATTGCCGGTTCTTATTTCTCAGTGTCCTGCAGTCAAGGGGTAGAGTTTTCCTTGCTATCTCATTTCCAGTGTTCAAGTCCAGTACAAGAATATAGAAGCAAATGGTCTCTCTCCAGTCTCAGCAGCCTGGTAAAGTGAGAAGTTGAAGACTGGGTGTTCTCACTCACTCCAAAACAGCCAAGAGAGGTCTTGGCTTTATCTGAGCACAGCTTAGAAGCGTTGGTAGTGACTTGCCTTTTATTATTATGCATCAGCAACCTTAATTCTGGTACAGTAGACAGTTATCATCAGTATCTTATATAAACATTTGCTGGAAAACGCAAGCATTTTGGGAATTGTTTAATCTTTGTGCAGGTGAGGAGTGATTTAATTGGTTGCAGACACCACAGCTTGTATAGCTTGTGCTGAGTCACTCTGGAAAAACAGTGTGGTTATATTACTCTTGGGACTGTCACAGAGTGTACAGTCTATTTTTGGCTGCAGCAGAAGTTACATTTCTTTTATCCATTTGTAAAGTGGGGGCAATGTCTCCTAAAAGCAAGGCCTCATATCATTGCCTTTCACTGTAAAGACTGTCAGCTTTCTAGTCCAGTGCATCTTCCTTTCAGTCAACTATATTGTGATACTGTGCTCATGTACTGTGTGAGCTCTTGATCTGTGCTTACAACATAGGATATGTTGTGAGATTGGGGAATGTGCTCTGTGCGTGTGGCATGTAGAGAGCTCTGTACTTGTGATGACATGTTAAAGGGTCAGTGAAGCTACTTGGTATGCTTGGTATAGATATTCAGCAAGTTCTGCAGTGCAGGTGGTGAGTTTTGAGGCTTTCAACTCTTTAAGCCTATATTTTCTTAAGGATAGATTAGTACGTCACAGACACTTAAGCCAGGTACAGACATTACACTTTAACAGTATACGTAATGAGAAGCTCAGCACAGAAAACCAGTCTATACCCCTAATGGAACAGACATTCAGTATACACAAACTGGTTTAAAAATGGCAGAACCTGGTCTAAGATTTGCCCCCCGCCCAAAGGGCAAGCGTGTGTTCTGTTTGCTACGAATCTAAACTATGCTGCTTGCAGAAAACTACGTAACTTTGACCAATTTCACCTTGGGCTTTTTGAATGTCTGTGGCTAGCCCTATGCAACATTTCTAATCTGTGTTCCAAAGCATGGAGAGTCTTCTAAAGAAACTGGATTTTTAACATTTTCAAAACTGCCTGTTCTCTGTGTGTGTTAATGGAAGTGGCTGAACTGTTTATTCTGAAGCATTTTAAAAATCAGTCTAACAGCAAGCATGGAAAGTTTCAGAGATGATTACAATGATCAGAGGATTAGTCTAGTCTCACCATTCACTTGTACTGTTGCAGCATCAAATCCTAAATTGCATCAAATTAATAAAATTAATGAAACACTGCCTGTGTATGTTTCTTATTGGCTTACACTTGTTTAGTGTACTTAAATAATAGACATGCTCAGCTTCCATGAAATATATGAGGAGCAATGATTTAAATTGGTGGAATATCAGAATTTTAGTTAAGTTGTCGAACTTGTATGTATTTAAGCCACTGTAGCTGATTTTTCTTTTAACAGTTTCCTCAGTGTTTTGTTTTTCCTTTTTTATTACAGTTATGTAACAAATTAAATTAAAATGTTACTCTTGCACGTCACTTTCTTGGCTGCTGCTTCGTTAGTGGTGCAAGATTGCATAAACCTAAAAGTAATGTAAAATATTAAACGCTGAATCTTTAGCACTGTTTGCCTTGGTGTTTTCTAATTTAATAAAATTTAACATGTGTTGATTTCTCAATTAATTTAAACACTTTTCCACAGGAAAACCAGTGGCTGTTACAAGTAACAGAGGTGCAGGAAGGGCATCACTGCGTCCTGGTGCAAACCCACAGCTGGAATGGCAATATTACCAGAACAAGATACTGAATGGCAAAACAGGTACAAATAACAAATGATTTCTTAAAACTGATTTCTTAAAACTGCAGTACTACCACAAAAAAGGTAGTTGATATTCCTCCCTGGTGAAAGGCCATTTTTTGACAGGACAATGGTTTCTGTCAATTAGTGTAATATATATAGAGTAATTGCTCCTACAATAGTTAGCGATCGTTCTGTTACTTTTTGTTGTGGATGAAGGGTGTATTTTTTAAATAATGTTGTCTACCTCTTTATTGGGGATGAAATTATAAAGTGTATTGCTACAATGAATGTTTATTTCCTGTTTGAAAAATAAAATAAAGACCTTTTGTGCTATCGTGCACCTGAGTAACTATATATTACCCAAGAACCAGCACAAAATATGACAAGTAAATGTTGCTAAAATTCCTCATGTCTAAAAGAAGTATAGAAACAGTAGTAGGCTACCAATGCGAAATTCATTAGTTTAAAAAAATTAATTGAACAATATATCTATGTAGGTAACATGAGTTACCTTACAATTTTGATTGCTGGAAATTTCCTGAGGACTTCAGTGAGTTCTGTCCCCTCAGTATTGAGATTTGTCTGCTCAAAAGCAGGGCATCTGTTATTGCTTATAGAGAATTTCTTATGTTCCTACAGTACAGCAGAAAGATTTTATGTTCTGAAGTAGAGGTATATTTGAGTAAACAAAAGGAATGACTATAAGACAGTCATTAAAATTGTGTTACACTGCCTGAAAAGCGTTTAGTGTGAAAAAGTAACTTGCTTGATATGAATGGCAACTTATTTCATATTTATAAACTTATAACAGGAAGAAAAAGTAGTTCTGTTTTTAGAGTTTATACCACAGTAATTTTCTTGAGTATGAGGTAGAGTAGTTCTTCCACAGGTGCATTGTTACTGGAGTGTTAACAGTAAGAACCTAATAAACTATGTAGAGTTTATAAAACAGAGCTCTACAGTAATAGATGCCTCTGTCCTTTTACTGTAGTTTAGCAGTCTGGGGGAAGAATGTAAAAGTTATGGAATCCATTGTCTTTCCTGCCTTTTTGGGAATCTTTCAGTCCTTTCAGGACATTCAGAACTTAAGTTCTACTTGATTCATAATGCTGTGTCAAAGACTAATTTATAATGGCAGATACTGTTTATGTGGAATTCAGTTTTTTTGTACTATAGTTTGTGAACACTATTTAATACAGCAGTTTCAAATAGTCACTAACATTTTTTAGGTTGATACGACATTACATTTTAGAGATGTTTTGGAAAGTCAGCTGGTTAGATAAAATCCAGGTAGTGTTGCTGAGAAGAACATATTCTATGAGAGACCCATTGTATTCTCAGAATACTGAAAATAACAAGAGAGATTGTTGAATTTGTGCATTAGCTTCACTGTGTTACAAACTCAGTGCTCCCTATTGTGGCAGATTTTTCTGAAAGTCCACATGCTCAGTCCTTTAACTTTGCATCCATCCTTACTGGCTGGTCCATAGGCAGGCAGCTCTTTCTTTCTTGATACGCAGTCTGAATGTACAACCTATAGTTTTGGCAAAAGGATTTATTTCCCTAATTCTCTCTTGAGCATCTCTCTCTCTCTAGTTAAAGGTTCGTTACATTTTTAAGTCTCTTATTAATTTTGGCTTGATGTATGACACTTATCAACAAATATCAAGAGAGACAACTATTTTCTGCTTGGCTTCTCATAAAAACATAGGTTGTCATCTTTTTCAGGTAGAAAAAGACATGGTTGGCCATGACTTTATACTATTAAATGAAAAGGTGGTATTGAAATTTGTTTAGGCAATTCTAACATTGCAAAATCTTAAAAAGCATACATGGAGCAGTTCACAGCATAAGCTGTGTTATGGGCCACA